GGGGGGGGGGGGCGTGTTCAGCTTAAGCTCTGAAGCTCAAGACAATTTAGAAAAGCCCTCAGTGTGTCACTCATAAAGCCACTACAGAGGAGACAGGACCTGGAGAAGGAACACATGCTGTAAATTGTCTGACTGGATAAAGTTTTCTAGCGAGGAGCTTAAATAAACAACAGGTAACTAATAACTACTGATTTTGTTTGTTAAATTTAACTCTTAAATTATCATGTGAAATAAAAATGCATATGCTCTGGTGGTTTTGTGCGTAATGCGCGCGTAAAAGCTGTGCGTAAAATCCTTACAAAAGCTGCATATTATTCTCTCCATCAAAGACTGACTTTATGTTTTTTTTTTTTTTTACCAGTCAGCTTTAGTGATGAAGACACCTTCGGTGCTGATCTCTGCAGCAGTTCTGGCGGTGCTGCTCAGCCCGCTGAGGAGTACAGACGCTGACACTTTTCAAGGCGCATTCCCACACCCAAACAAGTACAATCCACACGAATCGGACAGATGCCAACAACCAGCCATCAGTGGACTAATTTCCCGCGGGACTGGGCCGGTAACCTCAACCGACGAAGTGCTGGAGTCCAGTCGGGAAGCGCTGCACGTCACGGAGCGTCGGTACCTGCGCCTGGACTGGTGCAAGACGCAGCCGCTCAAGCAGACCATCCAAGAGGAGGGCTGCCTGAGCCGCACTATCATCAACCGGTTTTGCTACGGACAGTGCAACTCCTTCTACATCCCGAGGCATAATTACCAGGACGGAGACGTCTTTCAGTCCTGCTCTGCCTGCAGACCTAAAACCTTCAGCACCGTCACTTACACCCTCTTCTGCCCGGGTCAGACACCCAGCACCAGGAAGAAACGGATCCAGCGCGTAAAGCAGTGCCGCTGCACAACAATAGATACGGATAAGACGCAAAACTAACACATCCAGGTCGATTATATCCTCTTCAATTTGGAGGAAAGCTGCAGCTCAAAAAAAAATTAAAAAACGGAAAGTGTATTTTGCTTAAAGGACAGAATAGAGTGGGACGGTGACCTGAGCCTTTTTTATCATTAGAATGGAGAGAAGATAATCAACAGTTTGCCACGAATGTGACAGACAACATACATAAGTGGTTGATTCTAAGATGATATTCTGACCTGCAATCAATAATTATCACACTGTCCAGATATCTTGTAAATGATCAGCCATTGCTTCCATAAAGTCAGTTTTTATGTGTGATGTGAGATTGAAAGGATTTGTTTGCAGAGGGACTTTGGAGGGTGGGATTTAAAGGTGAGGGTTTAGTGACATTGAGTGCCAATGAGACCACGTTTAAGCTTAAGTCAGGCTGGTGTGTAACAATTTATAATGTTATATTTGTTGCAGACATGCAGGCTAATGGATGTGCAACACGTGTCCCTTTTCAGAAAGTGTATATGGTTACATCTTCAAAAGACTGGGATGGTTGTATTGTTTCCACTGTGTGGGATGTAAAGCTAAAGGCTTTCATTATAAAGAGCATAGACTTTTTTTTCTACAACCTGCACTGCTAAATGCCACTTCATTTTATGACTGTGTATAATATGTGTATCATGTATTGTAAAGTTGCTTGTAAATAAAACAGTTTCCAAGCTATGAAATCACATATTTTTCTGATCAGTGATTTTATTTGTTGAACAATATTGAAAAGATTAGTCTTTACATGTCAGAATCAAAGCAAAATGTAAGTGCAGTATGAGAATCTATACACAGCTAAAACTGATTTCCTACATGCACAAAAGATTCTTTCAATCTTTTAAATTTAAATACATTTTTACGTAGCACATTATAATACATAAAGCTATAAGCTGCTGTAAGAATAACAGACAACTCTGTAAAAAAAAATGTGAAAAGGTTCATCTTGTGTTATAGACATCCAGTCTGATCCGGCTTGGTGAGGATGGTTTTGTGACTGCGGCATTTTATACCTCCTGAGTCTTTTATGATGAAGACATGTTGGCTTCTTTCTGGCGGAGTCGCTCTTTCTGTTGGGAGCAAATTATCATTAGACTTAGTTGAGAAGACTGCAGAGAACTTTCTTTGAATTCAACCAAAGCAGCAAAACAGAACATATTTGTGAATGTGTATTTATCTGCACTGCATGTTCAAAACCTGGTTTAGGGAATGTCTGCTGCTGTGGTTTTTGCCTCTTAAGTATACCAACTCTACCGTATTGCTATCTTACCAGACTGTTAGGGTTTATCTTTCTGGTCTCCACCTTCTTCTCTCCTGTGATCCTCTTCACTGATAGCTGAGCCTCTTTTAACCTGCAAAAACAACCAGTTCAACTTTATGCTAAATATTTGGCACGTATATTAAAAATGTAATTCTTAATTGTATAAAGTTAATGTATCAACCAAAGAATGGGTCCAAGTGTAAGTACACTTAAGCCACAAATTAGTGGCAGACATTTCTTTCTGTCGCCATTTATATAAAATAAAATAAAGTCACTGTCGATACAAGTTCATTTCAATCAAACAAAGAAGAAACATCTGAAATTAATACTTTGTTTAGGACAAAACAATTTTTTTTATTTCTGATCTGAACACATTTTTTTGGACTGAATAAACACACAGTGGTGCTTCCAGATGCAGATGAACAGGACTGGTTTGGATACCTCTCTTTGGAGAGGTTCTTGTTCTCCCTCTTCCACCTGGCCTTGAAGTCGGCACAAAACTCAAACCAGAGCATGAAGAAATGACCGGTGGTCACCTCCTTCTCTCCTGTCTTGGGCTTCAGTCCAAAGTACAGAGCCAAGTCCTGAAAACTGAACAGCAAAACATGATCAACCAAGATGGAGGCGTTAGCAGTTGGTTTAAGTTGAACATGCAGTTGCTAGTAGCAACCACTACTCGCAGAGTTACATAGATACATACATATTGTGGACTCTATGTATGTGTTTAATGACAGTGCTGTACTTTCTATGAGAGACAATGTAACTAATTTGACAGCTAGCTAAGTTAGTCTATTATTTTGTGAATCCACTTATTGTTACTCTACTAATTCAATACCCTCAGTCGAACTCTTATTCATGGAATATCATCTTTTTCTGATATGTAATCTCTGTTATTGAATTTGTAAAAACTACAGGCCAGCTCTTGTCTTCAACCTTTTTTGGAGGCATCTTTAGCTCACTGAATAGCTGCACGCAAAGTGAAGGTAGAAGAAGGCTGTGACGACATTCAGAAAAGCATGATATTTGGTAAGTGTGGAAATATTAATAGCTACAACACCCTGAGTCTTCACAAAAAATGATCCATAAATCTTGACACTGATGTCCGCGATCAGTCATAGATGCTATACCTGCTGTGGTTTGTCAAATCTGAGCATACCGCAAACAGCTGTGTGGCTGCTTGGGTTGACACTGAATTTAACAACCAAATTCAGATAAAAGCCAGTATGATAAAAATGAAACACACAATTTAATCCTCCAACCTTTTTTGTACAGTCATCAACTGATAGGAAGCGTCTGCGTGTTCTTTTCGTGCTGCAAAGAAACAGACAAGGAAACGGTTTAGTTGTATCCCGATTTCACAAAAAACCCAACAACCCAGATTACATTTTAAACAGTCATAATCCCTATGGAGACTCCGTTGATATAAATACTTGAACAGGAACACAACGAGAATCTCTTGTACGAGGATGGCCATGTCAAATGGAGCCAGACGACCATTTGGGTCTCTTCAAAACAGTAATTACACATTCAGTTATTCAACAATGGAGCCATTCTTGCTGCCACTTTCAAATTGCAATGCCATTATCACAAAATAACAGGCACACTACCTGTCTCCCTGTAATGTTGTGGGATTTTGCTTTAGCCTCCAGATAATAGTCCAGCCAAACAACTCACTTAAGCTATCTATCTGAAAGTCTCCGGTGCAACTTTAGTCCAATTCGTGACATATTTTTAGAAGAAAGACACATTCTCTTATAAAACTTTGTTTCTTTTGGTTGCTGCAACTGTGATGCTTGTCTTAAGAACATTTTACCACCTGCATTTTAAAAGGGAAATGTTGTATCAATATCAAATGAAACACAAGTGATATAAGGGACATACGATCTAGTCCTGGTCGGAGCTCACTCTCACTGCTGTTAAAGAGACAATTTGGGCTTTATTTTTGAAGCTTTGATGTGTCACAGGGCCAGAAAAAGGGATTATATCCAAAACAACAGCAATTACAATGCATCTATGCCATGTCATATACTGGCGGATGGGAAGCTCTTCTGTAATGCAGGACCTCGTGTGATTTATCTTGAGACGGGTCAATATGAAAATCTTACAACATGGAATGCCTCAGTTAGTGTGATGAATATTTCCCAGTGCCTGTGTGTCTCAGGCAGGAGTCTCTCAGTCACTGCCAAATCTGCCTGATCCCTATCTGAGTGTCTAGCCTTTACTCTGAATCCATCCTATCTCCCTCCCTCACACACTCACACACACACACAAACACACACAGATACCAAAGACAGTCTATGAAATAGGAAGAGGGACAAAGATATTCAGGCCAGTAACAGGATGAAGCCAAAGAAAGACAATAGAATATTTTATATGCAGCATACGGTGAAAGAAATTGAGGAAGAGTTGACATGTTCCTGAAAGTAGACTGAGCTGTTACATGATGATCACTCTTGAGGAGGTTTCATTGCATCTCAGGTCTTAAAACACAGTAAACCCAATCTGTAGTTACTGACATGTTTCCAAACTACAGCCTTGCTAAAAGTAACACTCGAGGTTTGCAGGTGCCCAATATATTGTATGTCTGTAACTACTCACCACTGAGAACAAAAGCCTCCATTTTGTCTTTAAATGGCTGCAGGTGTTCTTCAGGAGAATCAGAGCAAACCTTCTGTACATCTTTCTCACATCCTGAAAAAAAAAACATGAGAATGGTTCAGAAAATGGGGGAAAATACACTCAACTTTTCTTTTCATGTTTCATAAATTTAGTTTAAGATAAAGTTTAGCTATAAAGGAAAGAGAAAACATACTTAATGATAGAAGGGTCAAATTTTGTAATACCCAGTAAGTTGGATACATTTATGTTCATGGGTTGTTTGCAGTAATTACAAGCATGAGCAGTAATAGCAACCAGTGGCTGAACAGTTCACGTCTGTAGGTGAAGTTTGGGTCACTTGCTAAAAGTAAAAAAACATGCCTGTTTATTACAAGAAAAAAATCTCACACACAAGTAGACAATTTTAAACCTGCAAGGGTTGAACCAAAATAAGGAAAGTTTGCTCTTAGCAGCACTTTGAGAAGTCAGACATGATTCATTTATTAGACTTTGATACCAGTAGGTATCAAATCCTAGGTATTTAAATCCTTAAAGGGGCACTCACATCATTTAATATTGCACTTTTATAAAATAAGGGGACTTAGAAAAACAGATTTTATATGTTCAGTATCTTATTTTAGCGTGTTAGCATGCTAACATTTGTTACTTAGTTCTAAACACAGTGGAGTGGAGCTTTACCTTATAAACAAGCCCGGGGTTATAACCCTGATGACATCGCTATGACGTCATCAGGGTTATTTTCCTCCAGGGCAACTGAAGACAATATACAAATGTTTCTACAAGCTGTGTAGTACTCCTCATGTCTGAACTTGATGTGTACAATTGGCGGAGTGCCCCCTTAAACTGCACACTCCTTCAACCATCGTTGTCCTTAGTGTGTGGTGAAGACATTCAGTGTTGTTGAGTCCAGCTTTTTTTGGATCTAATTCCCTCTTTTTTAAAACTTGACTGTAGAAGCTATAACCCATAACTACACCCTGATGGATGATGAGAAACATATTTAGTTCTGGGTTAAACTAGCTCCACCTGTTCCCAAGCAGGAGGTTATCAGCGCCTCTTCCTCTTCAGATATCACTTATTGAGATTCACCCAGAGATGGCGACTGCACACTCCCTCTCTCTCTCTCTTCCTCTGCCAACCTGTGGCTCCATGTTGCTCTGCGTCCAATCAGTGGATCAGAGGAGCCAGTCTGCAGAGCCAGTCATAATAGAGGCTGCAGAGGGAGCCGAACTCCTGCCCCCACCCCCAAACCCCGACGCTCGATCAACATCTCCCAGATAAGATTACAAAAGAATACTGTTTTCATTCGGGATTTGTGTAAACTGTGGAGGCGGGTATCTCTCTCTGCATTGTGTGGCGAGCCTTTCTTTCTTTTGTCTGCCTTTTGTGTTCGACAGAGGTTTGCTTATTTCAGACTGAAGAGGGTTATAGACCTTCACATAAACAGAGCCGGCTGATGAGGAGTGTGGTGCACTGAAGGAGTGATTTGGTTTCATAGTGAGGGATAAATGCTTTCTAAAAACGTTTTTAAGGTTTTGACGATGATATGTTTAGATCAGTCACCTCATCACAACAATAGCGCTGTCAGATACAGTGACATAAATCTATCAAGGAAACCAAACACTACATTACATAAGAGTGCTAAGCAAGCATAATGTTTACCATGTCCACCATCTTATTTTAGCCTGTTAGCATGCTAACGTTTGCTAATTAGCACTAAACACGAGTTAAAAGTGTCTAAAAATTGTAATTTTGGCTTAATGCAGAGGAAAAGTTAAGAGTTATTACAAATCATCCTGAGGAGAATATACGTTTCTACCAAATTTCAGGACAATCCATCCAATTTTTGTCTAGACATTTCACTTCAAACCACATCCACATGGTGGCACTACAGGAAAAGTCAGTACATCACTAAAGTCAGTGGAATTGGTCCTCTGGAGACCATGAATGTACAAAATGTCAGGACAATCCATCTAATTGGTGATGTTGAAATTGATATTTCAGTTTGGCTCAAACTGCTATCCATTCATCATATTCCTGGTGAGCTTTTAAAACTAGTTTTTAATTGCTGTGAGAGCATCAAAGATGAAATTCAATTCACCGAGGTGACTGATCTCTTCAGTATTCAGTCTTGGGTTGAAGAAAGAAATCTCAGGGATGACTATCTCCGAACCTGGACAAATAAAACCAAATCTGCATGGCTAGATACCACCAAAGATAAGGGAAGAATATATGTTTTACGTAGTGATTTGGAAGAAACTTTTTTTTACAGTGAATAAGCTATGCAGTCTTTTGCATGAGATATATTCATTGGTTCTCATTTCCCTTAACAGTCAACATGGATGACTTAAGAGAAACTAATCTCCCTTTAACTGTGTTGGGAAACATTTCATACCAACCAAACAGAAAACACAGGGATGAGGGCGGTTCAAAAAGGCAGAACAAAAGGAACCTGCAACGACGATCCAGATTGCACGGTGGTTTGGGTAGACGGGCCGATAAGACAAAGCTGTGTTGAGAGGTAAAGAAAGATATCTTTGGCACAAATCTGGGGGCCACACTGGAGCCCAGGTGATACAGCCGAGCAGGTTAAGGATCTGTGCATCTCTGCAGAGCCCTGTGCAGATACACTACAGATACTGGAGGTCTGGAGATTACATAAGTGGGAAGCTATGGTCTCCCTGCGCTGGCGACAGGGGCACAAAGGCACAATGATGGGAGATCTGATGGGCAGGAGGATTAGAAGCTGGATCTGAAAGGCGCCAGGTCAGTATCAGCAGCAAGACTCCTACTAGTCTCTGAATACACGCACATAGAGCACACATTGAAACACAGGCAAAAACACATGTATACATAGGGATAACAACAATGCATTCACTCACAATCGTATACATGTAAGAGTAAGCATTGTGCTCAACGTGACTTGTCTGGTTTAACTGGCTGGCATGCTGAATGGCATCATATGGGCACACTTAGAGAGAGAAGAGAACAGGCTAGAAGGATAAGAAAGACGAGAGGAAATCCTTTGTTCTGGGGCTTTAGCTAACTCAAGTTTGGTCAAAGAAGCAGGCCTTTAGCCCTAAGTATAAACAGTTACTCAATGGCTGGGGCCAGTGATGGGAAACCAGGGTGGTGAGTTGTGGGGGGCGGGGGGTGTCTGAGGAAAAACGATGCCAGACTGAGCCGAGGTTTGGTCTGTGGGAACCTCTCAGAATCAGAGTGATAGAGTTACACAGACTGACTGAGGTTTTCAAACAAAAAACACACAACAAAATGACCACAAGGAGAGACTATTCCAGTCACCCAGTCAACATGGATGCTGAAGCTCACCGTCTGTCTTTTCAGAGTGGAGCTCATGTGTTGGGGAATGTGTGCAATCATCTAATATCATGAACCGAGAGGGGGAGAAGAGTAGTCATCACTCTAGAGGGGTTTTTATGTTGCAAGAGAGAAGGAGCTGGAACAGAGAAAGGTTGCAGTGGTGAAATCACATACTTGTCAGATCTCGTCCGAGCTGTCTCAGGTCCCTGTTGAGGTCATCAAACTTGACTTGTGCTGCCAGGAAGACGTCCTGAGGTTCAGGAAGTGGGAAAATACTCTTGTCTGTGCCAGCGTTCTGGTGGAATACAATCAAACATCTCTGTTAAATCAGGGACTGAGAAATGTATGTAGAAATGTGTCTGTGGAGGCAGGAAACACACATTTTAGTTTCAACACTACTGTGTTTTCATTGTTGAAGAAATCTAAGGCACTCAAGAGGGCAGTGATTTAATATTTAATTTAATCATAGTAGCAGTTAAATTTTTTTTTTAAACACTGTGGTATTTTCCCTGATGAGGGCCTGAATGGCTGGAACACATAGGAATGCTTTTTAACTGTTACAATGACTAAAAAGCCATAATATATTAAATGCTTTTTAAATCACTAATCCTTCAGTACCTCAGCTTTCTTCAATGGTAAACTAGTAGGAACCCCAAACATCTTAAGTTTAAAGCTACAGTACAAAAAGTACTCCATCTATCAAGTGTAATAGATTAGAAATATGACAAATTCAGTTCTTCATTTAGGTCACAAGGTTCAGTTGTGTTACCAGTGTGTAAGATTTAGTGGCATCTAGAGGTG